TTTGCCTTTCTCTGTATTCCCAGCACTTAGCAAAGTTCCTGGCACATAGTAGGTGCTTAATAGGTGCTAGAGTCTGTACTGAGGTAAAGAAATAGATGATGTAGGCCTAGCCCTCAAGAAGCATAGTATGTCAACACGTGACAAGTTAAAAGCAGGTAGTGACATCAAGTCAGCAGTTAAAAATGAGAATTTAGAGCTTGGGAGAGAGCTAGGGCCAGAACTGTGGTCATAGTCAAAACGTTGGGAATGAATGAGATCACCACGGGACAGAGTGTGAAAAGAGAAGTGAGCCAAGGAAAGAGCCTTGGAGGAATATCTATGCTGGGGTGGGCATGGGGGTGGGTGAGGAATGGTAATGATAGAAGTCAGGATTCAGTTTTCCTGATTATTTGTTGCTGTATGTAAAGAACTTTCTAACTTTCAACAAATATTCAACAAGCATTTCTAAAACCCTTCCCTACATCAAGAACATTATGCCGTGTGCTCAGGAACATAATATATTTTATTACAAGCTCCCTTATGGAGCTTACCAGCTAGTAGTGGGAGATAATACAAATAATTGTAATGTAAAATATTTCATGATAAGTGCATTAGAGAGTTGCAAAATAAATCACGTCTCACATTTATCTGGAGGAAGAAGATGAGTTTTGTTTTCAACGTGTTCAGTTTGAGATGCTTCCAGGACATCAAGTTCAAAATTTCCTACAGGCAGTTGCTCATGTGGGATAGGAGGTCAGGAAAGATATTGGCACTAAATCAACAGAATAGACTGAGAATCAGTCCCATAAAGACGATAATTGAAGACATGGGTGCTGATGAGGCCACTAGGATATAATATATGTAGGGAGAAAAAAAGAGGGCCTACGGCAGAACCTTGGGATACATTCAAAGTATGTGGATGATAGTTGAAAATTCAGCAAAGGTGATTGAGAAGGAGCAGTCACATATGTAAGATGGAAACCAAGACAGTGCAGTGGCATCAACAACAACAAAAAACAACAAGAAAAAAAAGTATTCAGGAGAAGAGGATAGTCAACAGTGTTAAATGCTATGCAGAACTCAAGAAGGATGAGAGTGATGAAAAAGCCATTTGAATTGACAATTAAGATAATTGTTAGCAATGTACTACTGTTGGTAGTCCAACATCTAAAAGAAGATTTAGAACCACAGCCCAAATGCATTAAACTGCACATAATCCTTTGACCCACTACTAGGTACATACTCTATAAGGGTCAAAGATGAAGGCAAAGGACCCATATATGCAAAATTATAAAGATACTTACTGTTCTAGCAGAGACTTAAAAAGGTGGGTGCCCATTTGTGGAACAGATTGTGGTAAATGAATGGAATGGAATATTATTATTACGTTATAAGAAATGATGAAAGGGAGGGATCCAGGGATTCAGAGAAACCCTGATGAAGAGTGAAATGAGCAGAAGTAGGACAGTATTTCACTTAACAACCACAATAATGTAAAGAAAAATTACTTTGAAAGACTTGAGCACTTTGAACAATATAGTGACCAATCATGACTTTGTAAAAATGATGGAGCATGCCTCCTATCTCTTAGCAGAGGTGAATGAACTAGAGGTCCAGAATGAGGCTTATATTTTCAGACATGATTAATATTGTTGATTTTTTTCTTTCTTAAATTTATTTACATATTTTAAATTTTAATAATTTTTCCAGTTACAGGTAAAAACCTTTTAACCTTCATTTTTTTACAATTTTGAGTTCCAAATTCTCTCCCATGCTCCCTTCCCTCCCCCTTCATTGAGAAGGCAAGCCATTTGATAAAGGTTATACATGTGCAGTCATGCAAAATATATTTCCATATTAGCCATGTTGTGAAGGAAAAACGACAAAACACCCCAAGAAAAATAAAGTTAAAAAAAAATCCAGTATGCTTTGATCTGCATTCAGATTCCACCAGTTCTTTCTCTGGAGGTGGTTAGCATTTTTCATCATAGGTCCAGTGTATTTTTCTTAACTGTATGTATTTGTTACAAGAGAGGATTTCTCTCCTGGGGAGGAGGGGCAGATTGTGGGTTAAAAGATATGCAGAAGAGATAAGAAACTTAAAGAGGAGGCAGAGACAGGCAGGGCATTTTCATTGCTAAGGTGTTAACTTTGATGTATGCTTTCTTGAAACAGACTATAAATAATAGAGGTTTACATTTCCATACATAATCCTCTTGTCTTCTTTTTTCCTATATTGGCATGTTTGTTGGTATTTGTTAAACTCATGAAGAAAAGGAGATCATTGATAACTTTGGAAAGAGCACTTTCAGTTAAATGATGAGGTCAAGGAGTAAGATTGCAAAGGCATGAGGAGTGAGAAGAGAGGAAAAGAAGTGGAAGCAATGAAAGGGAATGGATTTTTTTTTTTTTTTAAGTTTGTCTGTGAAAGGGAAGATGACAGCTTGAGAGAATGAGAGAGTCAAGTACGCCTTTTTTTTTTTTTTCTTAAGACATGAGACAGCAGGAAAGCCAGTAAAGAGAGATTAAAGATTAGTGATAGGGGATAATTGTGGATGCAGTCTACCAAATGGGATGGATTCAAGGGCATGTAAAGAGGGTTTTAGTGAGGAGAAGGGCCACCTCTTCATTAGAAATCAAAGGAAAACTGGAGAGACCAGAGGATGAAGTGAAGAGTTTTTCAATATGTAGAGAAAGGGAAAAGAGATAGCTCACTTTTCCATAAAGTAGGAGGCAAGGTTCTTCACCCTGAGTGGGTCAGGGGTGGGCAGAGAAGAGGTTTGGAAAAGAAAGCACTGTGGGGACTGTAATAGAGAATTAGGAAGGAATACAAAGGATGGCCTTGTGGCAGTGAGGGCCCAGTTGAGACCAGACATCATACATTTGTGTTTTTAATTAATTTTTTTTGGTCAGACATATATTCTTTTCTCCCACTTGCCCCCCTAAGGGGGGGGGGAACCTTTTAAACAATCAAATATAGTCATACAAAACACATTCCCACATAATAGCTACACCCTAAAATATGTTTCATTCTGCATATTTACCCATCTCTTTCAGGAGATAGGTTATTCTTCCTCATTGGTCCTCTGGAATAATGGTCAGTCATTGTGTTGATCAGAGTTCTTTAAATCTTTCAAAATTATTCATTTTTATGTTGTTGTTGTTATAGGTACTATAGAGTTTCTTTGTTTCATCGTGTGAACGGTATTCAAGACTCATAACCAAATATGCATTAAAAATCGTTAGGAATGGACAACAGCTTTAAATATTGATCTATTTTTTTTTCTCCCCTCAGAGCTGATGTTTTCTTCTGATGTTCACGAATATCCCAATGTGGATAAACAAACCATATCCCCTTCGTGATGTTAAAAATCTATCATCAAAACTAGGACAGTATTTTTAATGTTCCAATTGTGATATGTAATCTTTTTTTGGAATGTATTTTTACAAGATGTTTGCAAATATATCTACAGTTACTTTGATTGTAGAAACCCATGCCCCAAGATTATGAAAAATATTAAAGTTTTGTACACTGTTTATATCTATCAATTTCCATGGTATCTCAATGTAGGTAGAAACCTATAAGGGAAAGTGTTTTAATTAATTTTTATTCTTTCCTATTTTTCCAAATTATATTTGTATCTGTAACGTTTATTCCATATGACATTGCAAATGCCCGGAAACACTACTAAGAAAGGAGACAGAACAAGTTAGCATTGTAACATGTAATACATCAAATTTAAACACAGATTCAGGGAACAGAATAAAAAAGACCTATGTGTATTCTTAAAAAAAAAACCTTTACTGAATTAACTTAAATTTAAAATTCAAATTTACTTGTTGGAAAACTGCTTATGAGGTATGTATCACACAATAATTTCTTTAGGTAATTTAGTTTAACATTTTTATTTCACGGCTAATAAAAAGGAATGTTATGGATTGAAAGAAATTTTATAATGAAAGAACAGGTTCCTTTCCTATCATTATTTCTATCATTTATAATCAACTACAGGCCTAAATGGTTATACAAATTTGGTGGTATGTACATTTTGTGTATGGATGCCTTGGCATTTGCTTTGCTGAAGTTTCTACAGGAAGGTAACCAGGATGAAGAAGGGCTTGGAGTTAACATGAGGATGGGCTGCAGGAACTGGCCATGTTTAGTCTAGTGAAAAGAAGAGATAGGATGGCCATGTTCAAGTGTATTTTAAGGGCTAGACTCCTATTTGGCCCCAGAAGGCAGAATCAGTAGTTGAAAAGATGCAAATGTAGGTTTGAGGTCTGGGAGCACTTCCTCACTGAGCAGTCCAAGAGTGAACGCTGCCTGGAGAAGTGTGGGCTCCCATCCCTGGAAGTCTTCAAGCAAAGGCTGAAGGATGCCACGGAGACCTCTTCCAACTCTAATTCCGTGCTTCTGTTTGTTCAGACCTGGGCAGTGCTGCAATTATTATTCTCAGGTACACCGTTCATTTTAAAGTCCAGGAGAGAGGGCATGTCCCTTTCTGATGGTTGACATAGTTGTGCTTTATTTGTTAAAGTGTTCTGGTGATACCTTTTGTGTTCACCCCACCTTCATTCCCAAATCCAGTGAATCATCCCTGCCAATAAAGCAAAGACAGAAAAAATAAATGAGCCAAGTTCTATGCGGGCTTAGGGGAGAGGAGAGAGCTCTGGTCTCTGGTCTCTAGTCCCTGGTCCCTATCTAGGCAGGAATAACGATGCCCACGTCCACAGTGCTCGGCTGCCCAGACCGGACCGTGTTGCTGGGGACAGGGACTGACCAGAGGGGGCTCGAAGAGGCGCGTGGCAGAGGGGCCGCAAGAAACCACCACGTGCCCAACCTCGAGAGAGCCATGACAACCGCCTTTCCCGCCCAGCCCCAGCCCCGCCCCCACCCTGATGGCCCTGGGAGCTCGCGCTCGCAGCTGACACCCCTTCCACCTAGGGACCAACCAGCGCCTCCCCACTCCCTCCTCCCCCTGCCCCCGCCCGCTCGGGGTGCGCGTGCGCAGTGCCTCGGACAACTCGCTCCCCCTCCTTCCCCCACCCCCCCAGCGCGAGCTCAGTAGCAAAGAGTGGCCCGAGCCACCGCGGTCGGTTGAGGGGGCCAGGGTTGGGGGTGGGGGGGTAGGGGGACAGGATGGAGCCAAGCCAGGCGGAAAAGAAGTTTTCGGAGCTTAGTGAAAGTCAGCGAAACAAGGTCCATTCGCTCTTCAGGGTCCCTTTTCTGTCCAAAGGCGGCACCGGGACTGACGACAATGAAGAAACAAGAAACTCTGACAACTTGTCGCAGGGGTCCACCCCCGGGCGTTCGACCACGTCGCGGATCGATCGGGAGGAGAGCAAAGAAGGGACCGGCAGAAAGCTGTTGAACGTGAGGCGGAGGAGAGCTTAGAGTTGCTGCGTCTGGGAAGGGCGGTGGGAGCGGGGCGGGGCGGGGCGCAGCGGGCCATCCCCCCGGCGTCTGCGGTAGGGGAGGGGAGAGGAGGCGGCGAGCCCTTCCCCCTTGGGGTGTGGCACTTAGGGAGGCGTGCTGGGGTCGGGATGCCCTGCACGGGGACGGCCCAGAGGGAGAAAACGCCACCCTGTCATTACCCGAAAACCCAGTTACATGGGGAAGAGGGAGTTAGTCAACAAGCGTTTATTAAGCATCTGCTATGAGCCAGTCTCACCTAGCCCTGGGAATAGAAAGAGCAAAAGACAGCCCCTGCTTTCCAGGAACTCACAGTTTAATGGAGGAGACAATGTTGCAAACTGTGTACAAACAAGCAATAGACAGGAGAAGTTGGACGATAAACCGCAGAGGGAAGGCGCCGGAATTCACGGGTTTGTTGCGAAATCGGTTTAAGGAAGCAGGTTTGCAACAGACCAGCGAAACGATCCGCAGTCCAGACCCAGTAGGTCTCCCTGGGAAAGAAAAGTTTTCTTTGACCAATATGGAATGTTCTACTAATTTGTATTCGGTAGTTTCTGGAGGAGGGAGGGAGTGTGTTGGGGGACATAGACACAAAATTAGGACGGAATTTATTTTCCTAAAGCTTTGGAGTGAATATATGGAATTTTAAACTGGTGAGTGTAGTTAGTACACTAGGGTTTAATTCTTACTGGTTTAACACCTTTTTTTTAGTGGTTAGCTTTTCTTACAAATGCTAGTGAGAAAGTAACGTTCCAATAAATCCATCGGATTTCACTATTGACTCCTCAGCAATGTGGCATAACTTCAGTTGCCTTTCCAGTGGTGGTGATGGGTTCAATTTAGCCACGCTCTTGTTGTGACCAGGCATATGCATTTGTAAGAAGGCTGACTGGATTGACATTAAAGGTAACCTGAAACCTGGTTTAAGCTAAATTGTCCATAGTGGATAACCTACACCTTAGTAGCAGGACTGTATAATTAGATTGGCAAGCAGGATTAAATTAACTCAAATAATTTTTTAATTCCATAATTTTTTTAGAGCTGTAATAATTCCCACAAAAGGCCTTCAACAAATCATGGCATGGAGGGAATGCATTGTACTTGTAAACTATTACAGCAGAGCACAAGCTCTATCAGTTTTTTACTGGGGTTGGAAAGGCTTCAAATACCTTTCTGGTAATAGATTATGTCTGGTCTGAGGATAAACTTAGCAAAAGGCTTATCGTGAGTAGGTTGGCAGCCCATGAAACAAAATAATATACAAATTGGCTTTGGGTTTTATAAAGCCCTTTTCATATTCTGTAGTCATGTGGCAGCGGCAGAAAAGGATGCTAAGAATCACAGTGTTTAGACCACATGTAATTAGTAATTTGACCTGGTTTTCCAATTTGAGATTATGTCTAGAGACAAAGTTAATTTACTAGTAGAAGAACTGAAGCATATTAGTATTGATATTCTTATTATAAATGAAACCAGAAACCAATAAATTGGAGTTAAAGTTGCAGGATACAAGATTAGTACTATCAAAAAAATATTTTGGGGACAGCTCGGTGGTGCAGTAGATAGAGCACTAGCCCTAGAATCAGGAGGACCTGAGTTCAAATTCGGCCTCAGACCTATAACATCACTAGCTGTGTGACTTCTGGGCAAGTCACTTAACCCTTAACCCCAATTGCCTCACCAAAAAAAAAAAAGTTCTAAATTATCAGAGCAACTAGGTGGTGCAGTGGATAGAGCTCCAGCCTTGTAGTCAGGAGGACCTGAGTTCAAATCCAGCCTCACTTGATACTTTCTAGCTGTGTGACCCTGGGCAAGTAACTTAACCCCAATTGCCTCACCAAAAAGAGAAAAAAAAAGATATCGTAAAAGATGTCTTATTTATAATAACAAATGCTATTACATATTTGGGAATTAGCCTAGAAATCTACATATGGAAAAGAACAATCAAAAAACCAAAATGATGGAAATAAAAGGCAGTAAATTATTGGATAGACACTCAGTATTCATGGAAGGTTTGGATTATTCTAGTAAAATGACTACCACTAAAATTAAGCATCCTATTTAATGCAATATGAATTAAAATGCCAAGGGATTTCTTCATATAACTAGATAAAATCATAATGAAATTCATATGGAAAAACACATGAATACCAATGGTTATGCTTTAACAACAACAAAAAAGATGGTATTGTGCTTTGACTTTAGAATTTGTAAAACAGCAATTATCTTCAAAACTTTATATGTGGCAGATAAATTTTTAAAAACTGGTGTCCAAAATATAGAAGGAATTGTTAAAAAATGAACAAATTTTAATTTGTCCAGATAGGAATAAATGAATGAAGCATAAGTGTTTACTAGTGCAGAACACTATGCTAAATGCTAGGAATACACATAGAAAAAGTAAGAGAATAGAGGAGGATTCTGGGAAGATGGAAGAATAGGTCAGAAAATTTCGAGCTCTCAAGATTTACCTCCACAGAAGAGATAAAATAGCACCTCAGGGCCAACATAGAGCAGTGAAAGTAAACAAGAGTAGGGGCAGAACAGGGGAATAATAATAATCAGAGAAGATCTAAAGAAAAATCACAGAAAGAAGTTTCATCCTTGTGAAGAGTAAACACCTCCAGGCTAGGGTCAGCTTAAACTACAAGTGGCAATTCCTGGGGTTGACTGGGTTGGGAAGCTGCCTGGGCCCCAGCCACAGTAACTTTTACCCCCAGGATAATGAGGGGAGTTGGGTATCTGAGCTGGGGAAGATTGAGGGAACCTCTACTGACAAGGAACACCAGACCCAGCTGTGCTTCTGAGACTCAGTGGGGGTGAGAAGGAACCAGCACATGCTTGGTGATGCAGAAGCAGTGGGATGGGACACCACTGGCTGTTGACATTTACAGGAGGCTGGATATCTTGGTTTGAGTTCTGGGTCAAAAGGGAGAACTAAAGAGGATCAGAAACCAGAGGCATCATCCTCCATACCCAAGGACTAGAGGTGACTATAAAAACTGAACTATTGTAAAAGAAATGCAAAGGCAAAGGAGAAGGAATCCAACCATAGAGAGCTACTATGGGAATAGAGAAGACCATGGTTCATCTTCAGAGAAGGAAACTGTAGCAAAGAAATCTTCTTCTACCCTAAAGAGTAATGTCAATTGCTCAGCTGCCCAAAAAGAAATCATTGAAGAACTTAAAAAAGACTTTAAAAATCAAATGAGAGAGATTGAGGAAAAACTAAAAAAAGAAAAATAAGAATAATCCAAGAAAAATAAGATTATGAAAAGAAAGTCTAGGGAAAAAAAGTCTAGAAAAAAACTAGAAAAGGAGATGCAGAATCTTGAGGAAGAAAATGACACTTTGAAAATCAGAATTGGACAAGGAAAGCCAGCAAAGTTATAAGAGATCAAGAAGTTAAAAAAAAATACAAAATACAAAGAATTAAAAAATAGAAGAGAACGTGAAACATCTTGTAAGAAAAAAAGCTGATCTGGAGAATAGATCAAGAAGAGAAAACATGAGAATAATCGATTAACGGAAAGCTATGATCAAAAAGAGAATCTTGATACAATAATACAAGAAATAATTAAACAAAATTGTCTTGAAGCATTAGAACAAGAGGAGAAAGTAGAAATAGAAAAAATCCACTGATCACCACCAGAAAAAGATCCTACAAGGAAAACTCACAGGAATGTTATAGTCAAATTCTGAAACCCCCAGTTCAAGGACAAAATATTATGAGCAACAAGAAAAAAATAATTTATATATGCTGGTACCACAATTAGAATTATACAAGACCTAGCAGTGGTGACACTAAAGGACCACAGGTCTTGGAACACTATATATCGAAGAGCAAAAGAACTGGGCTTCCAGCCGATAATATCGTACCCAGTAAAGCTAAGCATAATTCTGAATGAAAAAATGGATATTTAATGAATTGTCAGACTTTTGGAACTTTGTTTAAAAAAAACCAAAAACCTGAACTTAAGAGAAGATTTGGCATACAGGAGCCAAGAGACATATAAGGTATATACCAATGACCAATTACAAGGGGCTCAAAGGTAAAATGTTTACTTTTTATGTATGTAAAATATAAAACTTATGTCTAAGATTGTTATTAGTAATTAGGCAACTTATAAAGAAGATTGGGGCAGACCTGAGTATGATAGGACTTCAAAAAGTAAAACCATTCAGGAACAGCTGGAAGAGTAATTATCTTATACAAATGAGGTGCTAGAGGAAGAACCAAGGGGAATTAGATGGGGGGGGCTGTTAGTTCTGCAAACCGACTTTCATTGGAAATGGGTTCAAGAGGGAAAAATACATATACATCTACAAGAGTGTAAAAGTCTTCTAAATTTAGAAAGAAAACTCTAAGGGGATAGGGAGGGGGGAGAGGATAAAGGAGGGATGTTTAGAGGAGAGGGTGAGGAAAAAGGTTAAAAGGGGAATATAGAAGGGTGTTTGGATTTATGAGAAGGGGAAGATAAGGGAAAGATTGTTGTGGGGGGGGATTAGGTTAAGTAATAAGAGGGCAAGATAGTAGGTAGAGGTAAAGTAGAGAAGTTAAGAGAGATTGAAAAAAAAAAGGTGCACAAACAAAAACAAAGATTTGGAGTAGAATGTCTTAGGGAAAGTATATGTTTATATATGTATATATATGTATGTATGTGTATATATGTACATGTGTATATATATATCTCAATATCTACATATAAATATATCTATGCTTAATTGTAGCCTGGGGAGGGAGGAGGAAGGAAGGGGGAAATAGAACAAGTAAAAAGTGTACAGCAGAGAACAAAAGAAACAAAACAAAGAAAACCTACAAGGAAGCAGAGAAAAGATGGACAGCTTTCAACATAATGCTTAGTATTTAATATGTGTGCTTTTTTGAAATGGAAAGTTATTGCTATGTATTCTGAATCCTCCTATGTTCTGCTTTGCATGTGATAATTTTTACTTTTCTTAAATTTATAATATGTTTCTTTTTGTTTTCTTATGTATTTAAGTTTTAGTATTTGTCTAAAATTAAAAAGATAAAAAAAGAAAAAGTTAAAAAAGAAAAAAAAAAAGCTCTCAAGGAACTCACATTCTAATAGAGGGAGACAACACCTTTACAAGATTTCAGCTGCAAGTTAAACAGAAGGTCCCATGGTACAGCAACAAAGAAGATGGCATTGCCTCTTCTTTAATGTTAATGTTATACCCACTGATTAAATAATCTCTTTCTGATGTTGAACCATTTGACAGTGCCAAGGACTTTGGTGAAAATAACTTTTCCCATTTTGGGGGATCTTCAAAAGATGTGGCTGTAGTAATAGCCGGAACAATTGCCAGGTTACATCTCTACGAGGATTTCTTAGCGGGATAGTATCTGTGGACACTGGTGCATTCTTATTGCAAAGGATCTTGAGTACAAAGACCTGGGCTATCTTCATCAGGGTCTGAGGCTAGATAGTGGTCAGGGTGGTGTGATTGCACTTATCCGCCCTTGCTGACTCCTGTCTCTCCAGGTTCCCCACTGCTTCAGCTAGGATAGCTTACCTGCCTTGTGGGGGACAGTTGGTGGGATGACTGACCCCTTCTCCAAGGAAACTGCTTCCCCATATGATGGCTGCAAAGGCTGGCCTGGAAGCAGAACCAGTAATCTGCCACTCCCAGAGCTCCAGTGCCTGTCTGCCTGTTGGCGGAAGCTGGTCAGCGGCTGTGGTTGTTGGTAATGAGGAAGGTGGGCCCTTCTGTTGCAGTTTCACGATGTATTGTGGCAGAACTGTCTCAAAAAATCAGACCACCTCTATCCAAGTATAGGCATTTATTGAGGATTGATGCCCCTCAAAAGTGGGCTAGGTTTCAAAAGGAACCAGCAATTTCAGAGAAAGCAAGATGGATTTTTATAGAATAAAGATGCAATTACATAACAGATATTATGAATATTGAAATGGCAGGAGGGGTTTGTCAAGGGATTAGGTAATAGGGGTGGGGTCCCTTCTGTGTTTCTGTGGTTAAACGTCCTGGTCCTGCTGCTTTCTGGTTAGTTAACTCTTGTGGTCTTACCTGGTCAAGATAGGTATTGTGGTCCTGTCTTGGACTAAAGGAATGATGTGATTGTGGTTGGTACAAGAACACACGTATTCAAATATGTGAATTGGATCTGGGGGCAGTGGCTAGCCAGGGGCAGTGACTGTATTGAGTGTGGGGGGTCTGAGGTGTGGTTAAAACCAGATTATGTGATACATCAAAACTTGCCTGCTGTTTGGTGGGGCCCATAAGGAAGTTAGAGTAATGGGACTGGGGGCAGCTTTATTTGATTTGATTTGATTTGATTTGATTTGATGAGGCGATTGGGGTTAAGTGAGTTGCCCAGAGTCACATAGCTAGGAAATACTGTGTGTCTGAGGCCGGATTTGAACTCAGGTGCTCCAGGGCCAGTACTCTATCCACTGTACCACCTCGCTGCCCCAGGGAGCAGCTTTATTAGGATTCCATCATTCCCAGTCAGAGACTTGGCCCACTCAGTGGGTACAGTTTCTGTTGCAGTTTCATGATGTGTTGTGGCGAAACCATCTCAAAAACAGTTTTCAAAAGAAGAAATAGAAATTGTCAATAACTTGGAAATTGCTCAACTTTATGAATAATCAGAGATGCAGATTAAAGCAACTTTCAGGTTCCACCTCATGGCCATCAAACTGGCCAAAAAAAAAAAATTGGAAAGCAAAGGAGAAATTCCTGGTGAAGTTGTAGAGAAAGAAATAAACTTATTTATTGCTGGTGGATTTTCATACTTGTTAAATCTATTTAGAGAAAACTTGTCATGTAGAAAAGTTAGGAAAGTAATAATACCCTTTGACTTGAACATTCCATTGTTGGGAATATGCTTTGAAAGCATAATTTAAAAAGCTGTTTCTTTTAAAATGTTCATAGCAGTATTCTATCTAATTACAATAAACTGGAAGTAAGTAATATATCCAACAAGAAGGGAATGGATTAATATGGTATTTGTAAGGAAGTACTATAGCATAATTAAAATGAATGCTTCTCCATTTGATGAAATATAAAAAGACCTTTATGAAATAATGCAGAATGAAAGATGTAAAACAATTAGAACAGAGTTCATAGTAAATAAAATGACAGAAAAAAATGAACGGGAATGAATGGACAAAGGATCTTGATGGAGACCTAGAGTGAATGAAAATTTATGACATTTTATGTAGTGAATTTCATTTATTTAAATTAAATAGTTGAAAGGTAATTACTTGCAATTACTACCTCGATGGTCAGTATTGCTTATGATAAATCACCAAAACATTTTTAAAGAAAGAAAATTGTGACCAAATGGATTCTGTGCGTGCCCAAAGCAACAAGAAAAATCACTTCATGAAACACTTGATCAAGGTCTCTGCAAATTCATTTTTTTTTTCCTCCTCAAGAACCTCGCACTGTTTTGTGAATCAATACTGCTCATTATTTTACATCCCCTTCCTCCTTAATGTTTTGCAGTAGAGTTTGTACTTCAAACCCGTGATGTCCTTGACTATTAATGTTTTTTTACTTGGAAGGAGACAGTGGGTCTGCTGGATGAGGTGTTCTGGTTTCCTCTTTTAGTATCATTTAACTCCTCAAAGAAATGGTGATAAAGATAATGCCTTTCTTTACATTTTCTCATTTTCTGTCTTGTGGAGTTGACAGTTTGTCAGATTCATTTCAAACATTCCATATAATTGATGTTTCTTACAGCTATTGGTCTCACAGTGAAATCAGTTGCCAACTCTGTTTACCTGACTGCAAAGGGTCTATGTTTTCATCATTGTGGGGAAGTTCCTGGATAGAATTTTCTTTCACCAGCGCAGATTACAACTCCTCTGTGGCTTTGTACCTAGGAAATTAAAGTTCTAGGGAAGTGTTTGAGATATTTAGAGATACTAAATGACTTGTCCAGGGTCACATAGCTACTAAGTGTCAGAGGCAAGATTTGAACCCACATTTTCCTGATTCTCATCCCAGAATTCTGTGTATTCTATCAAGAAGCTCTGCTTTCAAATCCTGTGATTTTCTTATGTCTTCAGGTTGCAACAATGTCAATGCTGATAGGTTTCAATTTTTTCCAGCATATATTTATTCCTCGGTTATTGGACAGAGAACTCACATTTAGAATCTGCAGCCCCTAAATCAATGTTTATTGATTGTCTAAAGACTTAGTGTTTCTTAGCACCCTCTACCCCTTTTGCTGCCAACTGTCCACTGACACTGAGGGGATCAAACAGGACTCAAGTCCATTTTGGGTTTGGGGTTTTTTGTTTTGTTTCTTGGTTCCATGAGTTGCTATAGCCAAAGCATCTATCATCTAATGGCCAAACTACTAGTATGATCCTCTCTGTGCTTAGTGTAGCTCATCAGTAGAGCCTATTTTTTAAGCCATTCCTGCTTAGTGGAATTTGCCAGAATTCATACTGCACTGGCATAGCCTTCAGAATTCAAGGATACCTCCTTGCTGAGATGTAGTGTTAGAGTAAAAATTTTGTGGGGGAAGACTTACATGTTTTATACTAAATTCTGCTCTATAATGAACATCATTCCGCCATATAGGTGACTTTTAACTGCTCATACTACTGCTGTCATCAGTAGTTCTTCGTGAAAAACAATGAAGCATACATTTTGATATTTTTCACTGTAATGTGGGCCATTGTGAATCAGTAAACTTTCAGGCACCAATGCAGCATAGAATTTACCTACTATAATCATCACTGAGTCTGTCATATATAGTACTGAACAGTACTTAACTTGTTCTATTTTTATCTTCTTTAAATTTGAAGCAATTTAGAATTCATTTACATTTTGTAGATGCTGAGAAAAACTCTTAAAGGAAATGAAAGTAAAGAATTTAGTGAAGCACAAGACATACCATCTTTGGTTCCATTTGGAGATGTGGTATGTAAAAGCATTCTATGCATCTATAAATTACTTTATAGCTCCAGCTAATTCATCGTCTGGATTTTGGGTATTCAACAAGAGTATACATGAAATAATTTATGACAAAATTTCCATCACTTCTCCTTTTTTATGAAATAAAGATTTTACAAGAATATTCATTCAAAGAGGTTTATTAAAGTAATTGAAAATAGCTTATTTCGGAGAATGAGTGAATGATACTCATACTATTAATTACCTAAATATAGATGTTTTTTAAAATCACCAAACTAGTATGGATGTAGTATTGTAGTATGGGAGCAAGAAAACAAAATTATTCTCTAATGTCCACACATAATATTCTGAAAATAAGAATTCATAAATATAGCTACCTGTTTTCTGGATAATCTGGATTAATGTTTGATGAATGACAGGACCACTATATTTGTACTTGATGCTTTGAAAAATAGGAAATACTCTTTAAATACATGGTAAATTTGGATATTTGCCCCTTGCTTTATTCTTTGGAACACCCTACAAACAGTATCACAGCAAATCACATATTAGACAGTCCCACAATTCCTTTCAGTTCGTAAGATTGTAGACCTGGAGCTGGAAGAAAATCCAGATTCCATCTAGTCTAACTTTTTAATTTTATAGTTAAGGAAATGGGCTTAGAAAAATAAAGTGATTTGCCCAAGGCTAGCCAGAATCCCAATTTATAGTGTTATGTGTCAAAGGACTGAGTGCTTCATTGATAATAAAAAGGTTAGAGGCCTTACTCATTTGTTTTGCTTCTCTCATGAAGTTCTCACACTCGTCAAAACAAAATGCATATTTCACCACCAGGAAATGAGGTTAGTCTGTAGTATGACCTACTGTAGCACATATTCAAAAATGGGTTTGCTTTAGTAGTTGCTATAACTAACATCTTATCCTACCTGTTGAATTTGAGAATTTCAACCTTTGATTATAGCTATCTATGCTTTTGTGTCCTTAAAACAATATTTTTATCTTAGGATTTTATGAAGGCATTATCCTCTGGCTTTATCCAATTCAACTCAACAACCATTAAGGGTTACAATGTGCATGGTAGTTAGATTTTTTTTTTAATATTGCTAGACCTTCACACTGTAGTTTATGCTAGCATTGCCTTAAAAGAAAGATGAAAGCTCTGTGTTGCACTGCATCATCATCATCATCATCATCATCATCATCATCATCAATTACTACTATGACTACTGTGGAAATTGATTTAGTTTCACACAAGTATTAAATAATATTTGCTACTTTGAATTAACTATGAAGTTCAACATGCCTATGTTCATTTGGCTGATATTACAGTTTTGTAGTCAAGAAATGCTGCATTTATTTTATGGATAGAAGACTCATTTTTTTTGTATTTATCTCAAATTATCCTTGCCTTAGATTCATTTTCTGTATAGTTTGAATAACACTTCCACAGAATCATGAAATCTTACAGCAGGAAGCGACTGTTAGTCTAAACATGGCTGAACTAACACACCCTCTTCAGTAATTTGACAAATGATCATCTGGCCTTTGCTTAAAAACCTCCAGTGAGGGAGAATTTACAGCCTCCTGAGGAAGCCCATTCCATCTTTGGATAGCTCTAGTTACTAGGTTTTTCCTTCCATTAAGCCTGGATTTCCATCTTTGCAATTCCCACCCATTGCTCCCAGTTCTTTCCGCTGGTGTTAAATAGAGCAAGTCTAATACATCTTCCCCATGACAGCCATTCAACTTGTGAAAGACAGGTATTTTATCTCCTGCAAATCTATTCTTATATCTAAACAACCTCAATTCCTTGCATAGGTCCTTAAGGTCACCTCAACATTTACCTCAAAGTGAATGAATTCAAGATCCTTCACCATTCTAATTGCCTTCCTCTTAATATTCTCTAGTTTATCAATGTCTTTTCTAAAATGTAGTGCCCAGAACAGAACACAGTGTTCCAGATATTATTTGACCAAGGTGTATTAGAGTGGGACTTTAACCTATATCTTAAGGTAACCTTAAGACCATGTTAGCTTTCTTGGCTGCGCCATATCATGTTGCTGACTCATAAAACTTTCTGTCCATTAAAACTCCTAGATCTTTTGTAGACAAACTTCTTTCTAACCATAACTTCTTCATCTTATACTTGTAAAATTGATTTTTTAGGCCGAGTGTAAGACATTATAAGTTAATCCTCTTAAATTTTATCTGTATTTTAACCCCTTGTTTTATCCTGTAAAGGTATTTTTAGACCCTGACAAAGTCATCCATTGTTAGTTATCCCTCTCAGCTTTCTTTCATCTGCAGATTTGGTTAGCCTGCCATTAATGTTTTTATCCAAATTATTGATTAAAATGTTATAATATAGATATTGTAAGATGCTCTACAAGAGTTTTTCTTTCAAGGTAACAACAAACCAGTAAGGAAAACTTTTTACCCTTTTCCACTTCTGCGGTACCTCTCCTGATCCCCATTATCTTTCAGAGATGTTGGCAATGAACACATTTGTCAGTTCTTTCAGTACTTAGGAATATAATGCACCTGGACCAGGTGACTTGGCTTCATTGGGGCAGCTAGGTGCTCTCAAATTCCGTCCAATTCTTGCTACCACAAATAGTGCTATTATAAATATTTCTTGTATATGTAGAAACATTCTCTCTGTCTTTGTGTTCTTTGGAGTATACACCTAATAGTGGTTTCACCATGTCAGAGGTTATGTATGGTTTAGTGACACTTTAAATATAATTATAGTTAAATATAATTTCCAGAAAAGTTAGGCCAATTCAGAGTTCCACTAACAGTGAATTAGTGTGCCTGTCTTACCATAACTCCTCCAACATTTTACCATTTTTGTCTTTCATTGTCTTTGACAACCTGATCTTTTTCTTATTCCTGTTTCTATTATCAATATCCCATCCACACCAAGCAGTCATCTTCTACTTTAAAAAATTCTCTTCTTGTCCCCTGTAACTAAAAAAATTCCCAAACTACCCTTTTAATTTTCCTTAGCTTTCCTTGATAGTCTCTGCTAATTCTGAGTCTAGGACTCCTGGTACTGCCTTAATAGAATATACCACATTTTTGTGGTACCTCTGTTACCTGCCATTACTTCTGTCTTCTGTACATGTCTTTTAAATTCTTTTATTATATGATGAGTTCCTTGAGCATCCCCATTGGTTGATTTAAGTGACTCCAATTTCCTAATCATCAGCATTGTTATTCCTTGCATCTTTCATTCTTGAGACCTTCCCATCTCTTTTGTGATGACTTCTCACATAAATATTTAAGTCATGGGAGCCTACCTATCCTTTACCCAATCCTTTTGAAATCTGCTATGCTAAAAACTGTGGTAAAAGACAGATTTTGCCTGGCTGGACTCTCCTATATCACAAATTCTAATGTGGAATAGTCATTTCCTCCATTCTTCTTTGGCTCCTACCTCTTCTACTGTAGTAGTCAGTTTTTCAATCAAATCCTGGTTGGTTCCTCCATCTTATGAAGTCTATCATAAACCTTTATAAATAAATCTATCGTAATAATAAATCTATCTATAATAAATCTATCATAATATAAGTCTATCATAAAATGTTATATTTGCTGTTGGGGTTAATATACCTACTGCTCCTATCCTATACCCAGCCATGTAGCCGGTTTAGTACTAAGGGAACCGTCTTCTAATTAGGATGATTAGACTTCCCATTCTTATACTCTTTGTCTGGATAATAAAGCAGGAAACAGTGCTAATTGTGGTAAAAGTTATGACTCAAAAGTATAAAGGGTTCTCCAAAGATAGGGGAGTTTAAAAAGTATTCAGTGTACAAATATGAATCAGGTATGTAACAGGTAGTTTATTCCTATACAGAAAGAAAATTACTAAGCATAAAAAGTATCACCACATGCATTACAGAATGATTCTAACAGAATTCAGTAACATAACTATGGTTATAGTCATTTGGGAGGCTAATATTTTAAGCCTCATCAGATCAGAATACAGTGGTGTAGTACTGCTGATTAGGAATTAGTGGTATTAGACATTGTCCAATCAAACAGCCAAGTTTTTCTGGTGATCAGTTTCTCCATGAGCTACTGATGCTCTGGAAATTTCATAGCCACTGACTCAAAAACCTTCCAGGACATTCAGACCCACTTGATCACTTAACTTTTGATATCCCACTGCTGAAAAGTAGCTTAGGTACTCTTTCTTATTATTGAACAGCAATAAATTTCCTGCTGCTGTGGTGAGGGGATAGGGCTGCAGTGTATCAGGTGTGCAGCCTGGTCTCCTACCTAGGAGGAAGGAGAATAATACCATTCCTTCTGCCCTAAGTACTCCCTTTAACTGCCTAAGGCTATGAAAGGACTCTACCCTGAGAACAACACCCTGTGGACACTGGAAATTTATCTAAAATATTCTTTTAATGATTAACAAACTCCCACCTGGTCATACCTTCTCTATTTCAGGGATTCCAAACCTCAGTGGTCATCATTTGAACCCCGTTCCTCTCCCCAACTGCCCAGTCCCTCATTCCCATTGCCCAGTGCCCTATCCCCAAAATACCTCTTCCACTGAGCTCTTTTAATTGCCTGCTTCATAGGCAACAACTTGCTTTTGTCTTAAATCTCTTCCTTTCCCACTCTTCTGGCACTCCTTGAGCCCTAGCTCCTTCCTGGTAACACAGCCTCCCTGGCTACCCTTTCCAGTACTTCTATAACTTTCACTCGTTTCCTGTCAACTCACTGATCAAGATGAGGGAGTTGGAATACTCTTTGCTTCCCGTTGACACTTCCTGGTTCTCCCCCTGCCTCCATCATTCAATAACCTATCCTCTTTTAAGGTTCAATTAATTCATATCTATCATCCAATCAAAATTCTGGTGGGTGTTATCTACCAACTTGCAGGACATACCTTTTCTTTCCTTAATGAGTTCAGTGTCTTTCCTCTCCAATTTCTGCCCTCGTACTAGAGGACCTCAACATAAATGATGATACTTCCTCAAATACCCTAAGAGTACAGTTCCTCAGCTTATTTCATGTCACCTACTCCTATACCCCATCATCACCCCAAGATGTACCACTTCCATGTTCATGTACTTAGAAAATCCCTTTTCTGGTCACAACCTATTGTCAGTCCACCTCTTCTTCCACCTTCCAACCCCAAACCTGTTTTTTGCCCACTCCGAGACCTCCAATCCCTCAATCCCTCAGCTCTCTACCAGGTCATCATCCCTATACTAGCTACACTCTCTCCTTTCCCCATTGTTGAACAAGTTCAACTCTACACCATCCTCTGGAGTCCCTTGCTCCCTTATCCAATTGCCTATCTTTTAAAAAATGTTTTTCCCTAATTATACATAAAAATAATTTTTAGCATTCATTTTTTTAATTTGGGGATACAGACCTAGTGATATTACTGGGTCAAAGGGTATGCACAGATTTGTAGGCCTTTGGGCATAGTTCCAAATTGTTCTCTAGCATGGTTAGATCAGTTCACAACTCTACCAATAGTGTGTTAGTGTCCTAATTTTCCCATGTGCCCTCTAAACGTTTGTCATTTTCCTTTTCTGCCATATTAGCCAATCTGATAGGTGTGCAGTTCGCATTTTTCTAATCAATGTCTGTCACTAGGTAATTGTTTGCTTAAGATCAAGAAAGAATGAATACAAAAAGAGGTTGAAGTGGTCACGTGCTCATATCTACTTGGAGGCTGGATGAGATTCCTTGCCTACCTGATACTTAGGACTAGATCCAGAATATCCACAAGCTTAACAGCTAGAAAGAAAAACTGAAAAAATCCAGTAGATGTCTTCTGTACCTGCTCTGAGTCATCAGCTCTTCTGACTCAATAGCCAATTAAGAAACTTTTTAATTACCACACAGTGCAAGCCCCAGCATTACTGTGTGTGGATGATAATAGTTCCCTTCCCCCACACACCCCAAGCTTTCATATAGACTGTTAGAATCAGGCAGGTAATATCTGTACATTCTCTTAAGAAATGATGCTTATTGTCCAGTTCACCTACCTTACAAAAGGATAAAATTATCATTAAAGCAAATTTTAAAATGTTAACTACTCTGCTTTAGGCAGAGAGCCCAGGCAATATCCAAATAATTGAAGTTCCTTATCTCAACTGTAACATACTTCCATGCCAGTGTGGTTTTTTTTTCATCTGTTTATACTTATGCTTTCTCTTTTTGACCCATGGTAATATCACTTCTCTTTCTTCCTTTATTGATTACACAAATTTCTTTGACTGAATATATCTTCTAAATGTTCAATAAATGATATTCTGTCTCTCTTCCACTCTTTTAACTATACTTATAACATCCCAGAACCATATTCTTAGTCATATGACTCCTCTCACTAAGCTTCAGTGATCTACATGAAAGCAAATGGACCTCCTTGAGAGATCCTCTCTCTCTCTCTCTCTTTCTCTCTCTTTTTCTCTCTCTCTCAAAGACTACTTCTCCCTGTCTTTTTTCTTACTGTCTTTTTTAAAGACTAGATCTCCTCTCTTACCCCAAGCTGGGAGTACACAAGGCCTAGGGGCCCAGGGCCACTATTATTGGCTTTGACCTGTTTCATTTCCTACCAGAGCCAGTTTGTCCCTTTAGGCACCCTGGTGCCCTGCCTCCCCAGCCAGAGGCTTGCTATATTCTGAACTCAGCATAAACACCTATATATCTTAACCCCCCATAGCTCAGAACTCCCAAGCTCAAGAGGTCCACAAGCCTCACTTTCCCCAATAATAAAGATTTACATGTGTATACCACCATTCCTAGCTCATATTCCTTTTTTTTTTTTTGATTTTGTAGATTTCTAGATGTGTCTACTATACTGTAAAAGCTATGTTATAGAAGCTTCTCTCTATGGTATCTACAATCTACTTAGGTAATCTTTCCCCCCATACTTATTCAATTTAAAACTCCTTTGATTTGGATTTGTAAGATTTTGGGAAATACATTCTTACCATCCCTTGTTCACTCCAACAATTAACCAAAAGTTGTTTCTAAAATACCTTTAGAATCTTAAATGATGTAAAGCTTTGAATCCTGTATCAAACAGTATATTTCTAATAATAGAATATCATTCCTGTCATTCAGCTAATAGAAAAATTTTTTAAATAATCCAGAAAAAATTCTGAAAGTTTTATGTTCAAGCATTAGTTTTTTAAACATGGAGAGTTCATTTCTATGGGTGTTCAAAAATGTTAATGAACATTTGCTCACTTTTTCCTTTTATCTCTATTTACTTAAAGTTTCTATCTAGTTTTATTCTTTCCTTAGAGAAAAACTCGTGAATGTTTACAAGCCAAAAAATTAGAGAAGTATTTCACATTTAAAAGACCTCTCTGTACAGGATAAAGTAAAAGAAACAACAGTTGATATTTTAAATGTGATCACTCAATAAAATAATGTTTTTGTTTCTTTAATTGTCATAGGTTGGCTGCCTAGCTGTTCATATAAAGAGATGCAGACATTTTTCACCCAGGAGTATCCTTTCTCTTGTTTTATTTAACTGTTTAAAGTAAAATTCAATTTCCCATTTCCATTGACAACTCTATTAATTTTTATATTATGGGTAGCCATATTCATTGTCCTTGGGAATTGCTCTACATCATTCTTCTTAAGAAGCCATATACTTCTTTTTGTAATTTTTCTTTTTTTCCTCTTCTAATAATTATTTTCATTTCTCCCATTCTTATTAAAAAATCTATCTCATGAGAGATTTGAGGGGATCTGGAGAGATGTTGGGGCAGCTAGGTGGCACAGTGGGTAGAGTGCTGGACCTGAAGTCAGGATGACTCATCTTCCTGAGTTCAGCTCTGGCCTCAGATGCTTACTAGCTGTGTGACCCTAGGCAAGTCATTTAACCCTGTTTGCCTCAGTTGCCTCATCTGTACAATGAGCTGGAGAAGGAAATAGCAAACCACTCCAGTATCTTTGCCAAGAAAATCCCAAATGGGGTCAGGAAGAGTCGGACGTGACTGAAATGACTGAACAACAACAACAGAGACATACTTGAGAACCAGAAAATAACATGGATCAAAAGTCGTTGCTGTGATCACTAGATTAAATATCTCGCCTGTGGCTCCAAGAGGCTGTAGTATATGCAGCAGCTACATCTGGTAAAACCGTCTTGGCAGACAAGCTAAGCCAGGTTGAGGTTAACCAACAGGCCTCGATCCTATCTATGAGTTAGGGAGATGTCTAGCCCAAGCACGTGAAGACTTCCCCTGGCAGAATGGGCAGATGAAAACAGTGCATTCCAACGGCCCTGAAGGCGACTGAAGCAGGCACTGTGGAGTACTCAGAACTTGATCAGACGGGGAAGACACCAAGATCATCTATTGCATCCAGGACCATTGCCAGTTGTCTTGACTTTTGTCTTGCCATGGACTTGGATGGCTCTAGAAGAGAGAGCGAGGTTGATGGCTTTGTGCAACTCTGCCTCCAGATTAAATTAAACTTAAATCCGATTCACAGGCAAGTTAAGATATTACCTCTGATGTCATTAGTCCTCAAAAACGACGGACAAACAACAGATTATATGTACAGGATGTATCCTTTCAAGAGAAGTTACTTCTAGTTAATTTATCAGGAGATTTATCTCACCCTTCTTTCCTTCCTTCCTTCTTTTCTTCCTTCCTTCTCTGTCTGTCTGTCTGTCTGTCTTTCTGTCTGTCTCTCTCTCTCTCTCTCTCTGTTTTATGCTATCTGGAATAAATGTTTGTTGATTAAACTGTTCTCCTTTTCAAAGTCTATTCATTAATATTTTTAGCTTTGTGTCTTAAAATGAACTGAATGTATATCTTGAGTGCAATCATTAAGTAGCATTAAAACAGTGCCATTATGGTTTTTCCATCTTTTTTATAATCTACAGAAATTAAAATTCTGGTTGATACTGAAAGGAATTGTTTTAATCAGAAAAGCAAAAGATAGTTTAATGACTAGAATTTTATAAATAACAGGATAGACTAGGGGTAGGCTATATATCTGAAATTAATCAGAGGGTAGAAATTATATGACAAATTTGTGCGATGTATACAGCCAGTCTGGATAATTTAGACCAAATTATTTCACCCTAACAATGTTAGAATTATAAATGAATTATTTTCAAGTGGCTTATTGCTCTTAACTTTATAATTTCCCAAAAATTGTATTATGGTCACCAGTGTTCTTCATCAGTCTGTTAAATCATATGTTTATGCAGTTAATTAAGCAAGCATTTATTAATCACCTACTATGTACCAGGCATAGCCCCTGGCTTCAAAGAGTTTATGTTCTCATAGACACTTTATGAACTAATATATGTTGAAAATTTTTGACAGAGAATAGTATGTGGAGGAAAAGTAAGATGTAGTCTGAGAAGTATTGCCCTGCTTTCTATGTACCACCTTACTTTACCACTTTACTTAGTCATAGACAAAAAAAGGCTATTCTTAAAAGACTTTGTTCTTTTAAGATACATGCATCAGCTAATACTTTTTCATTGATTTGAAGATTTTGGCCTGAGTTGTCTAAATTAATTAAGTTGATACAAAATCATTGCTCAATAGCCAAAAAAAATATGCTTCCTGAATTTCAACATCTATTTTCAGTCAACTTACAGTATTATACAAATTTATTTATTCGTATCACTATAAACAAGTTCATGAAATGTACTAAAATTCATTCCATGAATTTTAAGAACAATGAGAAGAAACCTGCAATTAAGTTTGACGAAGTGAAATACTTCTCTGTACAGGTAACATCAAAGTTTTCATTTTAACTAACAAAATATATAGACTTACAGATATCAAGTGTGCTAATTGTATAAATGTTCTCTTGATCTAATTGTTACTCGATCATAACAATTGTTACTCTGGCCTTAGTACTTCTCTCTATTCTCTCCCTTGTTTATCTTACTCCCATGGCTTTCTTGTAAATAGACTCCTAAAGGTAATAAGAAGCCCCAGATCTTATTGAGTGATGGGGCTAATATGATCAGGACTAGACTTTAGGGAAATCGTCTTGGCAACTGAATGAAGGATGAATTGAAGTAGGTAAGGAAACCAAAGAGAAAGCTATTGCAATAGTCCAAGTGAGAGGCGATAAAGCTCTGAGTGAGAGTATTTTTGGCTGTATGAGTGGTGAGGCAGTTAGGCATGCAAGAGGTGTTGTGGAGATAGAACTTAGAAGATTGGGCAATTAATTGGATGTGTCAGGTAAAAGAGTGTAGAGTCAAGGATGACATCCACTGGACCAACAAACCTATGGAGCTTATTCTTACAGCTTGTGGCCAGAGCTTCCCACATAGCTCATTTCCAACTACATAGCTTGCAGTGAGGCAATTTACCGTGCCAAAGAACAGAAATCGTGATGCTGCCTGTGGTTTATATCATTTGCCACCTGTCACCTTAATACTTAATAGCTCACAATCTAGAAGGATATAAATCCCAAATTAATATGTTGGGTTGGGGCAATATGATACTGCTCTTCCATTTTTGTCAGACACATTAGTTCCAAGCACCCAGATTGTTTTTCACCTTTCAAGTCTTTTATCTCTCTAGAAATTGAAACAATGAATTTTGTTTCTAAGCCTTAAGTAAGATGCAATGCTTAGCATTTCTACTGTCCAGTAGGGTTTTATACACGTTTAAAGAAATTTGATTTGAAATTAACTGATAAGGAAGAAACAAGCCTGTACACCAGGCTAATTAGGAAAGGGCCAAACACTGGATTCAGTCCCCTTTGGGTGTGCTCTTCTCACTACCCTAGAGTCATGAGCACCTTGCACTTCTGCTCTTGTTGTGCAACAGCTGCAGAATGGGCTTAGTCTAAACCCTTTGACAGGTTCTCATGGCTTATTTCCTAGCAGATGCTTGCTGCCATGCCCAACTCTTGTGTCTTCCTGCTTGCTTTTTGTTTATTTTGTACATTTCTTGGTTCTTCCTGTCTTCTGTCAAATAAATGCATTTTCCAAAGTTAGGAGTCAAGAGCAGCCCATTTCACTGGAAACAGTAGGTATATCCCCCCCCACCAAGAATTTTTCCTTTCTTGTGGGTGTGGAACAGGAACTCTTTTGTGTTTTGTATATCTTAGAAATTAATCTCTCAAATGCTTTCAGAATTGTGTTGCCTCCAGTATGGATTTCTTGTGTGTGCACTTGATCTGATCAATCTCGTCTTCCTTACTTCCTTACTTTGTCTTCTTGGTCCTATTTCCACTTCCTCATATAATACATTGAGGACTGAGGTGTTATAGAGTCCAAACAAGGTAATTCCAGCTAGGTGGTACAGTAACTAGAATGCTCGACTTGGAACCAGGAAGACCTAACTCCTCAGACTTGGCCTCAGACACTAGCTGTGTGACCCTGGGCAGGTCACTTAACTTCTCTCAGCCTCAGTTTCCTCTTCTATACATTATACAAATAAGTAAACATTAAGGCAAACAGATATTAAGTGACTTGCCCACGGTCACAATCTAGGTTTATAATGAAATTTGTGTCTTTTTCAACTTTGCTACATCCCCAGCACCGAGTATAGTGCCTTGCATGTAGAGATGCTTAATGCTTATTGTATTGGATCACTTCTGGCCAGGCCCTGCACTCTATCCGCTGTGCCACCCAGTGATAGCAATGTTAGCAAATCAATTTTATTTTTCTTCTATTTATTGTCATCCTTGCAGTTTCATCCATAAATCCTCTTGGGATGATCTGCCCTAATGGAGTCATAGGACAGGCTTTCTTTAAATTAACTTTCTCATTCCCAACTTTTCACATTTTTGTGAGATTATAATGCTTATAAGTCACTATTTGTCATTATCCTCTACCTAAACATCTTGAAAATGTTTCTTTTGGAAACTGTGTCTCTTTCCTTTCCAAATAAATCAACTGTTTGCTATTTGTAGCCGTTTCTGGGCCTTTTTTGACCTTCCCATTGTGACCTTCTTATCTAGATTGCCTTTCAATTAAACTTTGACTTAATACCTATTTGAATAGGTCAGTAGTTTTCAATATACATATATCCTGGATAGGTATTATGGATGGTCAGTTAACTGGGTCAAAAGTAGAATAGGAAAAATAGAATAGGAAAAAGTAGCATTTTCAACAATGCTTCTTGAGGTAAAAAAATACCTATCTTGTCCCAGTGATCATATTAATTTGTGTACATGCCATATCTCTCCTAAGAGATTATCATGCTTAACAGATTATTATGCTTATTGCATTGGATCGCTCCTGGACAGGTGATCAGAGGAGGCTTCATTTAGAAGGTGATATTTGAAGTGGACATTGAAAGATATAGACAAGTGTAGACTGAAAAAAGGAACATTAGAAGAAGAGGAATGGTATGTGCAAAAGCTCACAAAGGGATTGTGTAAGAAGTAGCTACATAGGAAAGTAATAGATGCTCAGGGCATCTTTGTTGGAAAATAGCATCTGTTCTCTGTAACTCTGGTCTGCTAACACCACACATGAAAGGCAGTTTCATTGTTTTATGGAATACTTGATGATGATCCTTTAATTTTAATTAATTTAATTTATTATTTAACTTTTTAAAATTTTGATTAATTTAATTCATAATGTTATTAAGGTGAAATGAATTGAAATTGTAGGTTTAATACTATTATATGCATTTTGAGCATGATAGGTGTAGGGTGGTATAAAGAATATTGAATTTAGAGTCAGAGAACTGAGATTTTAAATCTGCTAACTACCTTTATAACCTTCAACAAGCATTTATTAAGTGCCTACTATGTGCTGTGCACTAGAATAAGTATTGGGAATACAAAGAAAGATAAACAGTTCTTGCTTGCAGTGTAATAGAGGAGACAACATAAAAACAACTATATATAAAGAAAATATATATAGGATATACTGGAGGTGATATCAGAAGAACAACACCAGCATTAAGGGAGACTGAGAATAGCTTCTTGCAGAAGGTAAGATTTTAGCTGAGATGCAAAAGAAGCCAGGAGATGGAGATGGAAGAGGGAGAGAATTCCAGGCACTAGGTGACAACCAGGGAAAATGCTCAGAGTTGAGAGATGTGGAGTGTTTTGTTCAAAGAATAACAGGGGGACCAGTGTCAGTGTAAATCACAGAGCATATGAGAGGGGAGAATCATAGAGGTATGAGAAGACTTGAAAGGTAGGAAAAGGGGCCAAGTTTTGAAGGACTTTGAACACCAAACAGAGGATTTCATATTTGATCCTGGAGGTAATTGTGAGCCAAAGAAGTTTATTGAATGTGGGGGGTTATATGTTTAGACTTGTGCTTTAGGAAGATCAGTTTGACAGCTGAGAGAAGGATGGACTAGAATAGGGAGAGACTGAGGCAGGCAGACCCACCAACGGCTGTTGCAGTAGGTCAAGCATGAGGTGATGAAGGCCTGCACCAGAGTAGTGGCGGTAGCAGAGAGAAAGGGGATATACAAGAGAAGTTTCAAATGTAAAATTGACAGAATTTGGCACAAGACTCGATATGGGCAAAGTGAATAAGCAGTCAATGATGATGCCTAAGTTGAGAGTTAAGTCATTGAACCTCTCTAGGCCTGAACTGTTTCGTCTATAATAGAGTTGGTTGGACCATATGATCTTTAATGTCCCTTCTAGCTCTAAATCTTATCATCCTGTGAACTGGATTTATTTTCTGTTAGTTGTGTGATTTTGAGCAAGTCACCTAAACTCTCTGAATTTTGATTTCCTCATCTGTAAAATGAGAATAATAATATTTTGACACTACTTGACACAGTTGTTGTGATCAAATTAAATAGGACATCTAAAGCACTGTTTAAAATGTGTTATATGTCAGCTATCATTGCTATGATGATGATTATTATTTAGGTTCCAAGACGTCAAGATGATGAAAGGAATATGATTTATTTGGAACTAATGGAATTTGATGAATTGGAAGCATACCCTGTACTGTTGGGAAGTTTTAGCTTACATCTTTATGAAATAATTCAGGTATGTATTATTTATTGTAACAGTTTTATCAACTGAATACCTAACTATGCTCAGTCAGTGTTCATGGTTACCGGAAGACTCAATTTCAATATCTACCTTCAAACTCTTATGATAAGGCCAAAAAACTTCATCTAGTTCTGATTTTAGCTGCATTTGCTTTGTTTATACAAAAATATACATTTGATATAAATAAAAAAAACTTTCTATCCAAAATGGGCTGCCTTTGGAGGTGGTAGATTCCTATTCAGTAGATGTTTTCAGGCACTTGTTGGATATGCTGTAGAGGGAATTCTAGTTCAGGAGGTATCTTTTAATCCTAAGATTCTGATTCTTTAATTCATACTTAAATTGACCCGCGTCTTGAATTTGTATTTTCTTAATAGAATTATTTATATGCTAGCAATTTCATTATATGTGTAATATTAGCTACCCTGGCCCTCACTGCCTGGAAGGCCAGGTCAGTTAGATTTCACTCCTCCTTCAAGGTTCTCCAGGCCCTTGAGAGGATTTAGGGGGTATTTAGGCTCTCTGCAAATGGCTCCAATCCTCACCAATGTTATTTCTTCAGTTGTGGAGGTATAAATCCTCAGTACTCCAGTTCCATCTAACCACTAACAGATTTACTTTTATACAGAAATATTTACTTCAGAAGATATAATCACAAATATACAAACTTACTCCCCTACCACAAGAGAGGCATAATTCCCCTCCTCCCTTTACACTACCTCAGTCTTTGGAGAATAGAAGGGGATTAGGTTCATAGTTTAGCTTGGTTCCTATAGAACCCAATCTCAGTTCCAAATCCAAAGCTCTCCCCTCAGTTACCCTAGCTTCTCAGGGCGTCCATCCTAAACTGGCTGACTGCACTATCCAGCCTATAATCCTGGTTCGGTGGGGATCATGTCTGGCACTTGAAACTGAGGTGGACAAACAACACAGAACAGAAACAAACACCCCTAGCCCCATTTCTTAGATGAGGTAAAAAGAGGGAGCAGGGGAAGGAAGTCCTTCCTGTCTCACCAGTCAGTTCATGGCTCCCATGCTTTGGGTGAACTATGATCTTCACCCTTTGGATGCAGCAGAGAAGAATGACTGAAAAATACAATAGAAAGAGGGCAGTAGAAAGAGAGCAAGTGGGGCAGCTAAGTGGTACAGTGGATAGAGCACTGGCCCTGGAGTCAGGAGGACCTGAGTTCAAATCCGGCCTCAGACACTTGACACTTACTAGCTATGTGACCCTGGGCAAGTCACTTAACCCAATTGCCTAGCCAAGAAAACAAAAAAGAGAAGAGCGCAAACAGCTCAGTCTGACCAGTTTTAAAGATATAGGGAGCCAATCAAAAGAAGCTACTCCCACCCACGTGGTGACCAAGAGCCCTACAAGTTAGGCATAGGTCACTGGGCATGCCCATGTCTAGGTTATATATACAAATGTCTTTTTTGTTTATAAATAACATTTCGTTTGTTATATTACTTGTATAAGATTGAATAATGTCCTGTACTGATATAATGCCCATCCATTATCTGAGATGTCATGCATTTAAAAATTTCCCTCTTTTTTTATCTGTCTTCCAGAAAGGATGTTTCACAGAGGAATTTTATATGAAGATTAGAAACCTGGTAGGGATTTGTTTCAAAATACATGTAATTGAGACACATCTATTAGTGAAAATAAAATTGTTTTATATAGAAATATTTTTAAAACATACAAATAATTTTATTTAAAATGCTTTTGATCTTTTTATTAATTCACTCAACATTGTTGTTCAGCATCTGCTTTCATTATCACTATGTTCACATTATTCTTCTCTTATCTTTCTGATTGCTGAGAGTCATTTTGGGCTATAAGTATAGGCTAATAGAAATTTTTAAGTATTTACATAGAGAACTTCTGGACCAGTTGGAAAGTTGTCATCCTTGAGATAACCTGGCATTTCTGACGAACATGATAATATGGTTGAATGACTAATTAGAAGACAAGATCACTTGTGGCCTCAGGTTCAAGAAGAATGAGTTGAGCTGCTGAGAGCCACGATCTCATACATCTTGGGGTCAGCTGGTGATTTCTGGGTTGATGGCACTGGGCATGGTAGGTGTGGCAGCCCTGATCATCTGGTCAAGCAGACTCAGCATCTGGATTATGAGATGAAGGGAAAATCAATACAGAAATGAGTTTAAATCATTTTTGATCTGCAGGTAGCGTAGCAAATAAAATGGATACCACTGGTGTGTTTGTCACGCCAGTTCCAATAGATTAATTTCAGACATACAACTTTAAGGCTAAATCTGGAGTATATCAGTTCTCACTCTGGCGTACTCCATGTCAGAGCTCTTGAGAGTGCCGTCCAACAACTATAGGCTCACACAGATACTCAGGGAATACATACACATACTATGCATGCTTCTGACTATCTGTTCCAAGAGGTCAACAGGAAAATATACGTAGAACAAGGCCACAAAAGGAGAATATGTCAAGATCCCTAAACCATTGCATCCATGCTACTGCATTGCTACCCTAAACCTTACTTGATTTTTGCTACCAAACTCTCCCATACAGAGGCAACTAGGTGGAGCAGTGGAAAGAGAGTACTGGGCCTGGATTCAGGAAAACATGAATTCACATATGGCCTCAGACACTTCTGACTAACTGTTTGACCCTGGGCAAGTCACTTAATTTCTGTTCATCTCACTCTTCTCAATTGTAAAATGGGAGTAATAATAACACCTGCCTTCCAGGATTGTTGTGAAGATAAGTGAGATAGTATGTAAAATCTTTAGTACAATGCCCTGGCACATAGTAGGCACTTTGCTTATTCCCATTCCTTTCACCTTTCCTATTTCTCCACCACTTCTCTCCACCCCCACTACTCCCAGTTTCATGTATATACAATCAATGGCTGGATGGTTTCAGTACCATTTTTCAGTATTGGCCCTGCCTAATATGAGCTCTGCACTATAGTCCAGGTTTAGGCATCACTGACACACAACAGCCATTAATCAACAACTGCTTATTAAGTGCTTACTATGTGCCAGGAATTAATGTTGGGAATGCAAATACAGAAACACAGATCCTCCCCTGAAAGACTTTGCATTCTAATGGAGGAAGAAAACACATAAAATGAAACTAAAAAGGGGATTTTAGGGGGAGAGGGAAGACATGAAGGTACCCATCACAGAGACATAGTAGAGAAAGACTGAAGTGTAGTTTGAAGGTGAATGAAGATGACTGCCTGAGCCTCCTCATTAAAATGGAGGTTCTAAGAAAAGCCATTCAATCAGGGAAAGAGGCCATTGGGACAAGAGTATTTCCAGTGTGTGAATTCCAGGGCTAGAATAAGTTTCAAGGATGAAGAGGTTTCTTAGCATGGTAGAGAAAGTTCATTGTATAGCCCCTATATTTCCATTTCTTTCTGCTCTCATGGTTCATTTACTCCACGAACACTGAGGACGTACAGTTTCAGTTTTATTTATTAAAATGACAAAAAGAGGACAAAACTGTAATGTTACAAGACAATAACAGCTAACATTTATGTCTTGGCTACTAAGTGCCAGGTACTTTACAAATATCTCATTTGATCCTCGCAACAACCCAGGGATTAGGTGCTATTATTATCCCAATTTTATAGATGAGGGAACTAAGGCAAACAGGTTAAGTGACTTGTCCAGGGTCACACAGTGAGTGTTTGAGGCAAGATTTGAAATCAGGTTTTCTTGACTCTAGCCTAGATATTCTATCCACTGCACCACCCAGCTGCCCAAGATAGGAAGTCTTAAAACTCTTTTAAATTGTACGTGTCCCTAGTCATGTACATGAGAATAGGCTTAATATATCTACACTCCTTACCTCTTTGAGGTCTCATTAAAGTCTTGATAGTCAGAACCTAAACTCTTTATGAGAAAATAAAAACTACAAGCAATTAAGAGATTTACTAAGCACAGATTATTTCTCTAACTTATCTAATGTGTAGCCAAAAATCATCTTGGCAGTCAGAAACTTGTGGAGTTTCTATCCCCCTTTTTTTTAACTTTCTTCCATCTTATCGTCTTAATGGTTTTAGATGCTCAATCAAGCTGTCATGGCCTGGGCTGGGGTAGAGTAAGTCTGATGAGATTTTTCAGTTCCTTTAGACCTTACTTAAAAATCTTTCTAGATATGAATTCCTTGTTGAAGAAGACATTTCTGTTTTTTGCCCCCAAAGTTTCTTTGGTTCTTGACCCTTATCAGTTAGATGCTGGGAGCAAAGGGAAGCCGGGAGTATTGTCTTCCTGGAATGAATATACCAGGTTTTAGTAAATGCTTCTTGACTTGACTTGACTGTTCCTGTATGTAAATGAATATAGTTAGCTGTTCCTCGCCATCTCTAAACAGTCTGAATTCCTTGGTAGTTAACCTTGGTGGCTAGATTTCTCTCATCTCCCTCCAAGAGTTCTTCAGGAGAGAATTTTTCCCTTTGCATTAGTAGATAGAAATTCCTTTTCTCTCCAAAACAATAGCTATATTAGCCTCAAACACACATTCCTGAAAATGTGTAAAATGTAGAATGACAGTGTTTATTTCTGTGCTCCGTGAACCTCTTTTTGGAGGAATAAGTTAGTGCCCCAGAGGCTTCACACCTTTCTCTTTTAAGCTTTAATAGGATCATAAATTTAGGACAGGGAGGGACTTTAGAGGACATTTAGTGCAAACGTCTAAATTTATAGTTGAAAAAAAAAATGAAGCCCTGTGAGGTTAAGTGATTTGTCTAAACTCACAAAATATCAGAGACAAGAGTTGAACTAAAATCATCCAGTTCACAATAATACCAAAAGTGATTGGTGCAAATACCTATTCGTATAAGCTTATTAGTTACAAACTATAATGTTCTCAATCTTGCTGTCATGCATGTATATATATATACACACATATATGTATATATACATATATACAATACCATCATTTTTGTTAGTTACCTTTGTTAGTGACCTTTTACCTTCCTTCTATATAACTGTGGAGCTAACAGTCGCCATGATTTTTTCCTCCTCGTATCTTTCTGCTGCCTATTTCAGTTCATCTAGCCTTCTAGATAGCCTTATCACTCTTCTCTTATTCTCTCTTTGACTCAGTATCTTTCCTCTTTCTGCCATGTGTTAATTCTCATACTTGCCTCCTTTTCCCTATTGCTGGTAGTATGTTGTCAGGGGCATCTACTTAGAAGTTAGTTGTGCTAACCCCAGTTTAATTGTGTGTGTGTGTGTGTGCGTGTGTGTGGGTGTGTGCATGTAACTGTGAATTTCCTGTTTACCATATGTACTGTCTAAGCTTGAGCCTGTTCTTCCCACAGAACCTCTTATGTACTTGTGAGAGAGTGTGCCCAAGACTTTGGGGGTATTGTTCTTTGCATCAGCTGTTCTTACTATACCACCTCAGTAACTAGCCCTTTTTAATGCTAATTAACTCTGAAAACATAATTAATGATCATCGGGGAGCCTACTGATAAGTGCTTATGAGCAATTATGCTAGAAACTCTACACCCTCAGGGTCACTAACTGCTGGAACTGCAAGAGGAGCAGTAGCCGGTTACTCTCTGGACACCCACTCTGCCTCTTCGTGGGGGGTGCGTGAGCTCAGAGGGAGCGCTGCACAATGCAAAGGAAAGTAATCCCTCAGAAAGCTTTGCCTAAGACCCAGATGATCCAGATCACCTTGAGAGACTTTATAAATTAAACTTCAAGAGGGATAACAAATAGTTGTGGACTGAATGAGATCAGCCAGCAATTCAATAATAATCTGTTCTCATCAATAATGACAGTAAACCTACCATACTTAACTCAATTATGTGAAGAAATAAAAATGGGTCTTAAGGAAAAGAGGAAATAAAAAACTTCTTGGATCTAGTCAAATACAGATAGAGGAAATTCGTTTCTGGAAAGAGCATAGTTATAAAGACAGTAAGGGAATCAATTTTAAAGATGTCACAAAAGAATGGAAAAAGCAAGGGATATTATTAACATCCCTAAAAAAATAACTAAAAAAAATTCCTAAAAGAAATTGACTACCAACTTATCTTTGTAAAAATCTTTGTGAAAATGGTTTATGCATATTTTTTCGAATTTTAGTGTTTTTATTTTTCCCTCAGTTACATGTAAAAACAAATTTTAACATTCCTTTTTAAAACTTTGAGTTCCAAATTTTCTCCCTCCCTCCCCTCCTCCATTGAGAAGGCAAGCAATTCAATGTAGGTTATACATGTGAAACATATCCATAATAGTCATGTTGTGAAAAAAAAAAACAAAAAAACTCAAGAAAAATAAATTTTAAAAATATATGCTTTAGTCTGTATTCAGACATTATCATTTCTTTCTCTGGGAAAGGATCGTAAGTCTTTCAGAGTTGTCTTGGATTGTTGTATTGCTGAGAATAGCTGAGTCGTTCGTAGCTGATCATATTACAATGTTGCTGTTCCTTTGTACACAGTACATTTCACTTTGTATCAGCCTATGCAAATCTTTCCAGGTTTTTCTGAGAACCTCCTGCCCCTCATATCTTATAGTACAACAGTATTCCATCATAATCACATACTCCAGCTTGTTCAGCCACTCTCTAATTGATGGGCATCTCCTCAATTTCTAATTCTCTGCCC